ACCTACCTCAAAATTTCCACTAAAAGAGATTGTTTTGGTGCCCAAATATCTTCAAATTGATCATCTTGCATCATGATGCATGTATATGAGAAAACAATAAATTTCACGTTTTGAAAATAGTGCATATTGCAACTCATTGTTGGACCGTTAATTTTCAAGATTTTCAAATTCTCATAGATCTGTTTGATATACACTATTTTTTAAGCTTTAAACTTTATAATTAAAGATAAAAATGTATTTTAAGGTTATAAAAAAGATTTTCAATATTGAAACCATATTTCTCAATACTATTCGAATGTGGGATTTAATTTGATTGTTTAGAGCTTTAGGTCTATACAAACCGCACCCAAAGATAAATGATTGACGCCTCATGCCAACCGTATGCTTAAAAATAAAGTAAAAGAGAGAGAAAAATGAGAGTTTTTTTATTGGTGCAGTTTGTTAACGCTTTTGAAGTAAATGAGAGAGAAAGAGAGTTAATTAAAAATACGGTTTTTTTATGGGTGCGGTTGGTATGAGGCCGAGATTTTTATTTAGAGAGCTAATTAAAAGTGAGAGAGACAAAAGAGAGAGAAGTGGGAGTTTTTTTTTATCGAGACTTAATTAAAAGCAAGCGAACGAGAGTTTGGGGCTACTAGTTACTACTCAAGCGAGTCAAAATTACCTCAGATTCGCCCGGGTAACTCGGGCTCGTTAGGGAACTTTCAAGCGAGTCAAAGTTAGCTCGGTTTCGCCTGGGTAACTTAGGCTCGTTAGGGAACACTCAAGCGAGTCAAAGTTAGCTCGAATTCGCACGGGTAACTCGGGCTCGTTGCCCTAGCGAACCTGAGTATCCCAGAATTAGGTGTTCAACTCGGGGCTTAAAGAAATGATAAAGTTATAAACAAATTAAAAATAAAAAATCTATTTGTAACATGTTTATTTTCATTTTTTTTAGATTATTTCAAAACCATCTCTGGTGACAAATTGATTTTATAAAATTTATTTCTTGTTTATTTTTAACCTCATTTGGATATGTCTTGTTTAATCTTACTGTAAATATTATATTTCTTTTTTAGATGTATTTTATTTTATTTATAAAATTTTTAATATTTTTTTACTTTTACACCAAACTTTGGCCAATTTACTCCGACTCGCCCGAGTCATTCGTTCGAATAGTTACGTCAGGAAGGCTATTTGCCTGTTCTTGCGCATAAGAGAGAGGGAAAAATTTTTGGTATGCTTTTTGTTGATTTACTTGTCCCATTTAGAGAGAAAGACTGGTTATTATTTGTTACATGCAAATTCATGTATTTATGTGAAGACATTCATTAGAGAGATGCCCAATATCTACCATAGATAGAGGCTTTATTATTCAAATATGAAAAAATGAAATTGGAATTTGGAGCAGTATTCAAAACAATGTTTTAAAAATCGGCGATTTGATATGGAATTGGACAATCTGGATCAAATATCGTCTAGCCCGTTCTGGATCTAGTGGAAAAACGGGATCCAGCGTCCTTGACGTCTTTATTATTTGAATAAAATGAACGGGTTATTATTTGAATAAAATGATCTGTTTATTATTTGAATAAAATGATCTGCGCTGCCACATCACACCATTGAACGACATATTTATTATTTGAATAAAATTGAGGGGAACTGTGTTGTCTCATCACACCATTGAAATTATCGAAACTTGCACGAAACTTCAATCACTGCCATCCAGCTCAACATTGCTTGATGTTTGGTTTAGTACGGTAGAAATTATACACGTTGTGCCTTTCCTCCTTTGTTGATATGAGACAAATCCTTATCTTTCTTCTACTACAATATTGCTTGTTGTAGGTAAAATAAGAAGATGACAATGTAGTATTGGTTGGTGTGGGATCCCTAGATGTTAATGAAGACAGAGGAGAAGAGGTGAAAGTGTCAAACTTTCCCCATTTTCTTACACCCGCTTCACTTTTTATTTATCACTAGTTTATCATTAAATGGTACAATTTTTACTGTAAAAATGTATTTTAATTTTTTTTTAATATCATAACATTAAAATTGATAGCCGATTTTATTTTTATTTTTAATCATATGATATGGAAGTGTTTTCTAATAATTTTTTGATCATGTTCATTATGATATTGTAATTAAGAATTATACATTGGTAACCACATCTTATATTTTATTTATTTATTAATTTATTAATTTATTTTATAAATTATATAATATATTAGTTTTCTTATAGTTGTAAATAAAAATGTTTAAATTAGATGATATTATAAGATATTTTTAGAATTTTTTTTTTATAAATATTTTATAAAATATAAACGAACAATTTCAATTCCAGTGTATAATATTATAGTTAATTAGGTTGTAATGTATTATTTTTGTTTATTAATTTATTAAACCAAATCTTATATTTTATGTAATGTATTATTTTTTGTTATAGTTGTAAACTAGATTTTTAAATTATATGATATTATAAGATAAATTTCAAATTTATTCGTATTTGTATAGTAAAATGATGATAAAATAATAAAACACAAACCAATAATTATAATTTTAATGTATAATATTGTATTTAGTTAGGTTTTAATAAATGTTTGATCAGAATCTTCATCTAGGAAAAGAACATCTCAATATTCGCATATTGATGCAAAAAAATGAAAGTTTTTAATGGAGTAGCCCCATTTTTTACTGGATTCCTAAAAAACAATATTTATAATGAATTTTAATAATTTTTTTAGGAATTTTTTTAAGGTTGAATCAATTGATTCGGCGATTCCCGATCCGGATGTTGATTCTAGATTTTGGATTGT